ATGCTGTTGGTCTTGCAACGCAATCAATTCGGGATGTCTGGTAGAATACGACAAACATCTTGGACGGTTAGTGAAACTGTAACCATCTATTTTTACTGTATCTGTATGGGTTGAAGAAATCCATGTTTCTGTAACAGCAATGCATGCAGGCTTCCAATGTTCAGTATAAGAGGCCAAATCTTTTACATGCCGATTTAAACTTTGCACATTCATGAGGAATACAGTAAAAAACAGATGTGTTAAAGCGATCACATTGAATTGATCCTTAAAAGAGGCGTCATACTCTGAAGTGCAACCAAAATGTCGTCCTTACAATATATCCTTTTTTCATCAAAATCTTGAATTGTCAACCCTGAAAGAGTTCTTACACGACTTATAGCAACATAAGCCTGTCCCGGTGAAAATATTTTACGAAAAGAAACAACTGCTTCATTAACAGTTAGTCCTTGAACTTTGTGTACTGTACATGCCCATGCCAATTTGAGAGGAAATTGTCGACGCAAGCCACCTTTAACAGTGGCTTTCTCCTCCTCAGGTCCAATGGGTGTGGACCCAGCCAAATCTGATGATGCATAGTGGCAGCTCTTCCTCTTCTGCACGCCTACACGATCATCATCAAATTTAACATAAACCACTTTAGGAAACTTGTCCTTTTCTGGTATTAATATTTCTGTAACAGTACCACAAACACCATTAACCAAACCATCAACAACATCCACATTTTTACACAACATAAACGTGCACCTTTACCCAATAACAACACTTCTGATAAACAAGTATTTGAAGCTCTCGCATGATGTCCTTCCAACAACCTCAATTTTCCTGTTTTTATCGTTTACATAATCCTGTGCCCCAATACTTACAAATTCAGGACAGGTCTCATATAAACGATGAATATTGTGCTCATTTACTTGTTTATTGGTAGCAAATATGTGCAAGGCTGAGCTGACCTCACCAGTTTCACAACGTTTTAAAATCTGTAAATCATCAGATAATAGTGGTGTGCCTTTAGAGCGCGTTCTCATCCGGTTTAGCAGTTGAGAAAACACAACATCTTTTTGTCTAACTATTTCAGTTAACTCTACAATTTTAAATAAATCTGACCATATATTTGTGGCAACACCATCACAATATAGTGCCTTCCCTTTAACGGGAGGAAGCTGATGGAAATCACCTACCAGAATTACACTAATATTTCCATATGATTTTACGTTTTGTTTTATCTGACGCAAACGACCATGAACATATGATAAGAGATTGTGATCAACCATTGATATTTCATCTATAATAAGAAGCTGAAGATCACAATATTTGACACGCAAGGAATTTAGCTTTTCTTCGCCCAGAGGAGTATACGGTAACCGAACATCTTTACCAATAGAAAATGTGGTGTGGATTGTGGTTGCTTGTAAATTATATGCAGCGATGCCGGTGGGAGCTGTCAGGAGTACGCATGTGTTGTCAGGATACTGACACACAGTGGACAATAATCGTTTTGATTCATATTCAATTGCCCTTATTAAATGACTTTTTCCTGTGCCAGCACCACCTGTAATAAAAATATGCAGCGGTTCAGGATTTTTTCCATTAACTTTAGCTAAACACCACTGCCTGATTTGATAAAAAACAGCGAGCTGTTTTTCATTCAAAGATCTAATCAATGAAAGGCCTTCATTTCTAGTAATTTTTTTCTTCTCAAATACTGAAGACTCTTTAAACTGCAAACTTAAATCTGGGATTTGTTCTTGATCAGTGTTTTCTATTTGTCTTTCTTTTTGTAATTCCACACACTCCAATCGTTCCAATTCAACCTCAGGACAAAGTTCAGCCCATGCATCTTCAAGCATAACATCACCAGTAATATTGTCCACAGCCTCATAATGATCAGATTCCAACTCAAATTCACTTCTATTTAAATCCACAACAGCCTTTACTGAATGTGCTGTTCCATCAACAAACCTAATTACACCGGTTCTATAAAAGTCACCAAAGGTTTCAAAATGTGCAGGTTTCAGTTCATGATCAAAGCGATAAGGCATAAATAGCTGCATTATGCTTTGATGAAACTTTCTGGCTCTTTTGTTTCAGAGAAACGCGCATATCGAACAACTGCTGGTTTTGTCCGAGTTCTTTTCACAACAAATCCAAAATCCTTATTCAATTTTACTGAATTTTTACACTTCTGACTTTTAGCCAAAACGCGATACTCTGAAGCAAACTTAGCCAGGCACATATCAGAAAACACACCATCATTTGGTCTATTTTTATAGCGGTCAACGATTCCAGTCATCCACATATCTTCTTGGGTAAGATCCTGTAATGCAGCTTTTTGTTTTAAAACAGAAATGGGCAAACTCATTTTCACGATATTATCACCCGTTGGAATAAAAACAACTTTCCGGGAACATTCCTTTAAATGCATGTTTGTGAGTCTATAAACTGCTTCCTGAGCACAAACATCACGATTATGCAAATAGACACTACCAAGTTTCTTTAAAGCCTCTTTAGCACTGAGATTACCGTCTTTTGCTGCTTCTCTCTGTGCATTTCCCAGAAGAAGACCAACTTCACGTTCACTTTTTGACATATAAGAAACAATATAAACACAACATGCATATGCATCAACACAATACTGGATATCAATATTTGCATTCCAAGCTTTTAACAGCGATCTACTATATTGATTAATCCAGACTTCGTTAATTTGCCTTTTCAACACCACATGTGTATTCCTACTAGATCGTTTATATGCCGTTTCAAATAAGCCTTGACTGATGCACAAGCCCTCAAACATTTCTTCCACAGTATTATATGGACAGTTTTCATCTGAAATGGCATTTTTTATCCTTGTTAAAATATTGCTTGCTGCATCACTGTCCATTTGTTCTGGACCTCTCTTATTGTTAAGACATTCACAATCTGCACTACCATCAGTTTTATCCAAATTGCATTTACAAGTCTTGACTGGATCTTGATATTTTTCGCCACGACAAATAAAAGTGCGACAAGATGCAGGCCGAGGGAAATTAAATCGGCAAACAGTTTTTTTCTTTTTACAAGTTTTTGAATGTCGTTTTGAATGCTGTTGTACAGATGTAACTACTTCAGACAACGCATCTTCTTCAGATGGAATTTCACATGTAACATACTCATCAATAAATGCAATAACCTCTTCATCTGTATTTTTGTCCAAAATTGGAGCACCAGCAATCCAAAAAAGGCAATGGCAATGAGGAGACCCACGCTGCTGAAATTCGACCCGATAATAGTAGTCTTCAATTTTTCCAATGGGATTGGCAGGAGACATGAGGACTTCTCTTACAAAAACATGCCATCTAAAATCAAACATTCTAGCAGCAGTAACAGGGTTTCGACGCAACAATTCACACTTGTCTGCCCATTAAACTGTTCCAAAGTCTCCATTCGGCCTTCCTGCTTTAAGATGCTATAAAGCAGATTAGTCCATCTCATATCTGCAGAAGAAAACGAGGCAAACCATGTGGGTTTCCCCAACATTCTAACACAAGCCAGCAAGTCGCGTTGAGCCGTCTGCCAGAAAGCTGGTGTGCCTCGAATGGGTTTCAAGAAACGATACCCATCGTCAAACTCCAACAACTTATTTATAGACTGGTCATTCTTCAGAACCTCAGTCATATTTTGAGGTGTAGAACTTGATCCTTTACGTAAAGCTATTGAGACTTTAGAGACAACCTGCTCAAGTTCCGACATGTATTGAGCAAAGAATATATATTCCACATTACGTGCAAATCTACCATCAGCATGAAGAAGCCTGTTATTAAAATAACGACTCAAAGTTAAACGATACTGCCGCTTTTCATGGTATGTGTTAAAACCTGATGGGAACAATACAGGAAAACATTTTGCTTCATTAGTACAATCAGAAAGCAGTTTTATAGGGTTATTCACTCGGTGCTACATTCAACACGTTGTCAACATATAAATCCAATGCTTCTTGTCCTACATCTACGGGCATCAGACAAGTGTCCTGGAACATGCAGTGTTGCTGTCTGTCATGTAAAAGGTCATCATCATTGTCATCTATGGACACGTCATCTTCTTCTTTAACAATATTACTGTTTAAAACAGAATTATTATCTTCCTGAGAAAACTCATTGATCCAAGATTCATTGAACTCCACATTTTTATAATGCAAGTTACAATGTTTCAAGTACCAAAGAGCTTCCTGGACATGCATTGAGTCAACATATTGATAATCATAATGACCTTTATATGTTAATTTACGCTTTAACTTAACAGGTAACAAAGATCCTTCCATATTACTACGTGGTAGCAAACTGCAGGTTTCAGCAACATTTGCAGGGACACAAGTAACCGGACCATGCACACCATTCTGGCCACCTTTGGGTAAAGCCAACATCTTCATAAATGGTATATGTAAAGCTATTAAATGTTGCTCCAAACTATTCAAACATGCCAACTGAGGTGGGATGTCATCAACAGTCAAATTATTGCATGAACTTTCTGGTGGCATTTGACCTTTACTAATTTTGTGATGACAACAGTAACAGATATACAACTTATTTCGACAGGTTTGGAGATTGCATGGTGATATGCATGCATTACTACATATATGCAAATAATCATCACTTATACATTTATCTGCAATTAGAGACATTTCTTTACTTTTTCTGTAGGAATCTTTGTGACAATTCAAGACTTGATGTTTGAATAACAACCGAAAGCACACACAACACACAAAATTAGGCCCCTCTTTTACTTTGTCTATAAATTGCGCAACAACAAAATCAAATTCCTTCAACTTTATTTTAATGTCACGTCTTTTCGCTCTATATTTGATATTATGTGGATCTTATGTTGTGGATCAAGGTATTGCTTTCTACTTAACTGTTTAACTTTTTTTCTGTGAGTCATGTCGTTTTTATACTTGGCAATGCTCATTTGCTTTAATTTTTCGCAATGAAAAATATCCGTTTTATATTTAGCAATGCTCATTTGCTTTAATTTTTCGCGATGAAAAATATCCGTATTATATTTAGCAATGCTCATTTGCTTAATTTTTTCACGATGCCAGTTGTCTTTTTATACTTAGTAATGCTCTTTTTCTGAAGCCGTTTTTGGTAAGTCTTATCTTCACAATACTTATTTATAATCCATTTTTTCTTTTGTTCCTTGTATAGCAAATTTTTTGCATATGTATTTCTTTTATTAAATTTTATTTTTTGCCTATATGCCAGTTTCGTTCTATATTTTACGGTATTTATTTGATTCTTTTTTTGTCTTAGATACATAGAAGAACTGTAATTGGCTTTACCGCTCAAAAGAGTTTGCTTTGCATTTTTCTCGACTTGTGAAGACCTCGTATGCCTGTGTTGTGTCTTTAACGAAAGATGTTCTTCACAAAGTTCAAAGCAAGAGGCTTTATGACCTTGCTTTGCACAAATAACGACATCAAAATGCTCATCAGAGTTCTGCAAATATAGAGCTTGATTAGTCAAATGACTACTTTTTGAATTATATTTGGTCCACTGTGTGCCATTAAATACATATATATCCAGTCCTAACATATTGGCCGCAGATTTAAACTCAATTTCTGTAGCACAGTGACCCACATACTTCATCTGTGACTGGTTAATATATTCTGTCACAGAACAATCTTTTGCCAAAAATCTTTCGCATTCTTCTGCATTATTTGTCATGTGTGAAATAACAGCGAGTCTAATTTTACGGTGATTTTTCTCAGAACCACTAAGTGAATACGCTACAGCTCTGAAAAAACTATTACTGTCATTTATAATACTTTTAGTCTTGCACACATTTCCCAAAGGCCCACGCAATGTTACTTTTTGAAAATTATGTTCTTCAAAGTCTATTTTTAAATTTTTACACAGAGTTTTAGCAGTAACATCACAGATGGGCGTAAATACTAAGGTATTTTGGTTATCTTTTGAAAAATCGACGCACTTTTCTTTAATGGAGTGGTCAGTTTTCACTGTCTTTATACGTGTAACTTTTTGTTCTGTTGTAGCTTGCCGAGTTTTAAAATCACCAGAAACATCTGTATTCATGCAATAACCATGACATGTTTGTGACTGAGGCTGCTTTACACAAGTAACCGTCTCATAATGATTTCCGCCAATATTTTGCAAATAGAGACCATGATTGGACAAACTACTGAAAGAACCATATTCAAGCCATTTATCATTGCAAAATGTGAAAATATTAACACCAAAATAATCAGCTGCAGCTTTAATCTCTACTTCAGTTGCCCAACTGCCAACATATTGCATCCTTGAAATGGCAATATATTGTGATATGGAGGAATACTCACTTCTTAAAATACTATCATACATGTGAGAATTCCTTTGCAACTGATTTACAACAGCAAGCCTAATTTTGCGATGATATTTCTGGGTGCCACTGATGGCTTGACTAAGTGCTCTGAAAAAGCAGTTTCCATCCCCAACAATTTTTTCTGTCATACATGGCGCACCTAATTCCCCAAACACGCAAGATTTAGAATTTGCCCGTTGAAACTCTACATTCAACTTTCCACAAAGTGATCGTGCAATCTCGTCAGAGACAGGGTTAAAATACAAAACCTTACTTTGGAAATCAGTAACAACAACATCATCATCAACATCATCCGTATCTAACATGTGAAGTTGGGATGAATGTCCTCCGCAAGAATCGTCCTTCATCTCAACACTAGTAAAGGTGTGATCAACAACACCACTGCTCCCTGGTACAGCAGCTGCATGTTCAGATACAAGTTTACTTGAGTCCATCTTAACGATATGAACTCCGCTGATTTCAAATAATTTGGGAGAGTAATGGAGTTCACCAGAAAACCTTCTAATGTACAAAAACAGATCATCAAGAGTATTGAAGAAAAGGACAACACTCTTTCCATGTGCATCTACCATGCCGCCAGTGTTGCGTGCATGAGAGTCTACAACAGCGTAACGTCCATTATAACTGATAAGGGCACAAGTACTGCCACTTATTGTAATAAAGCTAGTTTCATATTTTGCACACATTTTACTGAGTCCATCCCAAAGACTAGTGTGCACACCTGCATCAATAAACTCTCCTTCCAGTACATCGACATCCCCAGCAACATAGTCCCCATAAGAATACTCAAAACATTGTCCATCAACATGCATCTTTTTAGGCAAGTCTGGAACAGAGAGAAGCTGACTTCCACCACTGATTAAATTGTTATCGCGCAAAAATGTGTATAGCTCATCACCTAAAACAACTACATCATCCAATATGCCAGCATTCCATGAAAAAACGCGGTCCAGTGTGTGCTTTGTTAAAGCAACAGCACTTATGGCTGCACACTGAAGTCCAGCATATTTAAACCGATCATCCCCCTGATGAAACGATCCACTGAGTGATGCAACATGGCTACTTGCACTATGGCATGCATTTGTAGCCTGTGTGTCAGCAGTTACTGCCGCACATGTGTCCACATTACTGTACACCTCTTGTACAGAAATAGAAAGACTCCATACTCAGTTGCATTTAATGATTCCCTGAGGTTAATAAGGTGAATCATTAAATCATTTAAACACGTGTTAAACACGACTACAGAGGTACCGAATTCTGATGCTAAGCCCTGTGAATTCCGTGTTCCACAGTCCACAACAACAAAATAGTCTCCATGCTGGATCACCAAGATAGTTTGCACCATGAAGATTAAGGATACACATTCCATCTCTTAACAAGTACGTATTTAATATTTTATACAGTTCCTCCTCCTGCTCAAAACCAAATGTCCCAAACACCATGTCTCCAATTACAACTTTCCACTTTCGACCAAAAATAGATCTTCCTGATCTTCAACCAATTTACACAACTCTGGCTTAGGGCCCCCTGTTTGGTCTTTCTCGTGCAATATATTCCGCCAACTTCTGACCTTCTACACCGACTTCATCTACATCAGATGTCTGCCAGGTACAAATGGGTGAAATGTTGTGTTTTATTGCTGCTACAACACTACATGACATTAAGGAATGAGAACTACAGTGATTATTATCCAAAAATGTCCCTGGAACAAGAGACGATGGAGGCCCCTTTGAACACCTGCAAGGAACGGGGTTAACAGCCTGACCTTTGGGTGAGGTCTGCACGCGCTGTAAATCACCCATCTCCTCAGGCGTCTACAATGAAAATATGGAAAATAAGAAAAACATGATATTTCTACATCCTCATTTGATAAAGGCTTTTCATTAAATGTAATATCATTAACAAAACTGCAACTTACAATTATCCAATATTTCTATAAAATTAGAAAAGAAAATATACACATTGTGCTAATGTTGTTTTATACAATATGTAAACCAAATAAATTAAGACTATTGTAGTAAAATTCCAGCTAAAATATGTATTATTGTTGGCCTGTAATGGCTTTTAGCACAGGCTAATGGTTGCCTGACAAGAAACTTTAAATTTCTCTGTCTAACTCTGCTGTAGCGAATCAAACGATTCTCTACCAAAAGCTTATGAAACACATTACAAAGCTAACAGAGAAATTATTCTTTTTATTGTTTTAGCTTAAATGGAAAAAATATTGATTTTCATACAATGCATCTTAAATTACTACTCCAAATGTTTTTACTTTACAGCAAATGGCCTTTTTTGACCCAAAATAGTCCAGTTAATGACTATTTACTAAATTTGTGAATTACTTCAGAAATTGATTCATTGTGAGCAATCGCTTGAGCCTTAATTATTATTTAGTACATGTCTTCGCAAAAAACATCAAACCATCCAGTTTCTTACGCTTATACGGAGTCTGCTCACAGGCTTAGCAGCTTCAGAAAGTAAGCCTTAAAAAATATCTACATTTAAAAGTTTGAATCTCTCCTGACTGCAAATTGATGCTTTTTTATTTATGCACAACAGATTTATTACATAACCCAATGGCAATAATTTGGAAGAGATTTGAATTATGTGATGAAACTTTTACAATGAAAAGAACAACACTGAGAGAACATTTTTTATTAATACAAATAGCAGGACATTTCTATACAAACCTCCCGGCCAGCAGGAACCTCCAAAGGACAGGCAGCCCCCACTCCAGGACACTCAGACGCCACACGAGGACAGGCAGAACGCGCGTCAGACAAACACACCCTGGGTCGCTTGAGTACGACCTACAAATAAATGAAACAAAAAACAAAACATGAAGTTGATATTGCACAAAATCCATATATAATGTCATGTTTTCAATAAAACACTTCACACTGTTCAACATTCATTAACTACACATTTAACTTTAATGTGCAAAACACTTACAGTGTTTTCAGCCGGCACAAATTCCGCATCTATGGCAGGAGTTACAGGAGATGCAGCTGAAACCTAGAGAAAAAAAAATTAAATAAAGTCATGTGGACTAGAAATCATTAATTAACTTATGATTTTACATACCTTCTGTCTCACACGCCTGGGCTTTGAGACAGCTGGTTTTTTTGACTGTTCCACAGGCTTTGTCTGTAACATCGCAAACAACATTGCAGGTTTGTGTTATTTCTAAAAAGAAAAATAATAACACTGCTAATTGTTGCAGTATTCTGCAAATTACCTCGGTGTCTGTGTGAACAGCTGGAAAGGCCGATGGAGAAACCGTTTCCATGGCAACCAAGATGGCGGGTGAGAAACGGACAGGATTGGACGGGATTGGACACTCCGCTACGGCCACAGGAGTGTGTGGTCCCTCTATAAGACCAACATTTTAATTATTACCAAACCAATGACATTGACATTATACATAGCTGCAAGCCTCACGCACCTGGCAATGAACCACTCTTTTCTTGGGTGAACCAGAAAAAGAGTCTGATTCTCCCGAGTGGTTCCTCTGCAAAGGTAGATCACATATAACATTTTTAGGATGACTAGCTAAAGTTAAACATCTTTCTTCCACTGCAAGCAAAAACAAAATGTCATACCTTCCTGCCGGATCTCACAAGCATCCATTCAGTAGGGAGTGGAGAAGCAGGACGAGAACGCTCCTCTCCCTTCACAACCACACGGGGCACAAACCTTGGTTTATACGGAGGAGTTGCCTGACTTTGCACCAGTGGCTGTGGTGCTGACAACTCCATGAACTGATAGGAAAACACCCAAATCAGTTGCTTCAAGATGTGCATTCCGTGGTCATCACTGAGGTGGATCTGGACATATTAACAATAATCAGAGATAAGGTCAACATTTCATATAAATGCAAAATTGTTCCTTAGGTGTTTGAAATGAAGAAGTACTCACGCCATCGCGGCACCACAGATGAAGACGGTTCAGAGAGAAGTAGTCAGCAAGAGGATAATACGGAATCCCTGAAAACATCATGAAAAAATTACATTACATTTTCAAATACTCATGAAAAGATAACATAAAAAGAGCTGCAATACATTTACCAAACAAGAACATAATAACAAATATTTTAATACCTACCTAGCTTTGCCGACCTGCGGTGGAATTCTTGTTGAAACAAGTTCTGCTTCTCTCTGGACTCGGTCAAACGAGGAACGAAGCCGGTACAAAAAACCTATAAAAATAAATTTAGAAATTTACATTACCTACGAACCTATTAAGAAATTGATGTTTATATCACTGTTTCTCGATTACAGTCCTCAGTGACCATTGCTCTGCATGTTTTATATGTATGTCTGAAGGGAAATACCTAAAACATGCAAGGCAGCAGTTTCTGTGAAACAGCATTGAGAACCTCTGGTTTTCATGAACCACAGTGATTACAGTACCTTCGGCCAACTGCTACAGACAGCCTTGAGGTATCTCTCAAATTCCTCTCCGGCTTCTTCTGGGTGACGGCTGGCCGTAAGGTTATTTGACGGAGCCATGACGCAGACAGCATCAGGCTCCCGCGGTACAACTGCATTTAACACCTCGAGACGCAAGTCAGCTGCGCAAGCACCAGGAGTGGACATGAACCCAAACTGGATGCAGCCGCTTGCCATCTCAACAATGTTGTCCGCAAACGATCTCAGATGGGATTCTCCGATCAGAAGAACGAACTAAAATAGAAAAAACACAGCAAAATAACTAAACCTATATATTCTATTTGAAACCATTGCTGATTTTACTTACTTTCTTATCGGGCAGTCCCTCTGGAATGACCAGCTTGTGACAGTGGTTGGTCACTTCACTAGCCGGCCACGGTCTCACAGCATGGCGCCAGCCGGTACCATGACCTATTGAAATGCAAAAAAGAAAGAAAAATTATTTAAATATAGACTGTGAACTCTGGATATTTCATTTGAAATCCAAATAAGACATTCAATTTAAAGAAATGTAATTAAACTAAAAACTGACGTGGAACAAAGTCGTTGGAAGGCCTTGATGTCCCTAAACGCAGAGTCTGAGCGGCGGCCATTCGTTTCTTTCCAGCTTCAGACCGGCGATGGGACTTTTGACGAGGCATCTGGAAATCAGATAAATTCTGTGATTTAATGAGTCTATGCTTATTTTCAGGCCCAAACAAGTAACTTCACGTTCAAATACTAGACGAAAAATGAGCAATCCGCGACTTAATATTACATTTACAAGAGACTTTAAAAGAAATGAAAAGACTGTTACTGTTATATAGATAAATACCAATGAAATCTACAATGAAAAAGTGAATAAGCAGTTCTCTTTGAGATGTGTCTTGTTCTAATTTAGGAAAACAAAATTTAACACAATTACATACTCTTCGTTTTCTTTTAATTCAGACATTTTCTAACATCCATAAAACATAGCAACTAACAGCCTGAAAACTGTTCAGGCTGTTAGCTAATATTACATTTAAAAGAGACTTTAAAAGAAATGAAAAACAGACTGTTCCTGTTATATATATAAGTACCAATAAAATCTACGATGAAAAGTGAATACACAGTTCTCTTTGAGGTGTGTCTTGTTATAATTTAGGAAAACAACATTTAAAACAACTACATACTCTCCGTTTTCTTTTAATTCAGATATTTTGTAAAAGCCGTAAAACACAGCAGCTAACAGCCTGAAGACTGTTCAGGCTGTTAGCTGCGAGCACGAGCTAACAGTCTGATGATCGTGCTAGCAGCTGCTAGTACGAGCTAACAACCTTAAGGAGCTAACCGCCTAAAGTCTGTGCAGAACTACGAGCACGAGCACGGAGCGATTTGAATACTTGAAGCACGAGAGGCCCCACAGAGAGAACTAACAGTAGAATAACGATTAACAATGAGAAAAAAGGCTATAAAAAACCCCTGAACTTCTG